GAATGCATAGATGAAAGAGCTACACTATTATGTTTAAAATCTGAGTGCAAATCACGAAAAAGCAAAAAATATGACACAACGCTCATACCTTACCCAAGGGGGACACAAAGTTTATGAACGTGATGTAAAGAGAAAGAATAGAGAAGAATATTTTCTTTACATAGTTCTTTACGAAAAGTGCTTACGCTTACCGCTTGATTTGACTCCTCAAGATATCGCACGTCTGTGACAAAAGAAGTGTGCCCTCGTAGTTCTTTCAAACACTTCCCACTCTTCAATCCATGAACTCTAAAGAGGATAACGATGGGTGAATGGAACTACTATACTCCTGGCGTCTATTCAGTTACAAATACTTCACGCGACCAACAAAAAACCGGAACTGGACTGGCTGATTTCTGTAAATCCCCAGAGATTTGTTTTCCAAACGTATTAACAACTTTCATTAAGATAACTCAAGAGACCAATGTTGCCCAGACTTACTTAATAAGATGATCATTGCCACATGAAAGAACGTGGGAGTTATCCTTGCTGAAGCGTACCGCATTGATAGAAGCATTATGTGCCTTTTCAAATCGTCGCAGACAATCGCCAGTTTGGATTCGCCACACCTATGTTGAATAGAAGAAGGTATTCAATTTATTATGGAAAGCACCGAAAAATAAACCTTTATTCGTCCGTCCACGCTACCAGACACAATCATCTCGGAATCCCTTGAGAATGATAGCGCTGATACGCCATCATCCATCATCATCAGATTGTCTTGGGCCTAAACTTCCTCTTCATTTAAGCAGCGAAGAATATGAAAATGAGCCCATTTACCTGATACTTTAGATCTTTACGCAATTTGCCATTCATGAAATTCCACACTTCTATGAAACCATCTTTTGAACCAGAGACGAGAAACTGACCATCAGGCGAGAATACTGTTGATAGAGGGTAGCTGGCTGCAATTCAGAATCATGTTATTGTTGATATACAGATCACATATTCCAACAAAGAAATGAAGTATCAAAAGAGAAACCTACTTGCACCAAACTTAATGTGCCTTGCCAGTTGAGTTGGATAACGCTCATCCTCCTGTTCTCGCATTGCAGCTTTTCCACGGAAAAGATCGATTTGTGTTCCTACATGCAATTGTTTGGTACAGATTATTTTTTAATAATGCAAAATGGTACCTGGAGGTAGAAGGCCTTGATGAAGTTGCCACTTAAGAGATTGTTGCAACAAAGCAAGAAGACGCGA